GACTGTTCCAATTTCGCATTAGGTGCCGTACTGTCCCAACTCGACGATAAAGACGTCCTACACCCGGTAGCATTTCTCTCCCAATCACTGGTCCAAGCCAAACGAAACTATGAAATTTTCGATAAAGAGTTGTTAGCCGTCGTTGCTTCTTTCAAGGAGTGGAGACATTACCTTGAAGGCAACCCCAACCGCCTCGAAGTCACAGTCTACACAGACCATAAAAACCTGGAGACGTTTATGACAACGAAACAACTTACACGTCGTCAAGCCCGTTGGGCGGAAACTTTAGGATGCTTCGATTTTCACATCAAGTTCCGACCAGGCCGACAATCTAGTAAACCGGATGCGTTGTCGCGACGACCTGACCTTGAACCCCCTGCACACGAAAAACTATCGTTTGGTAGCCTGTTACGTCCAGAAAACCTATCAGAAACGACCTTCAATGTTGATATCGATAGCGTAGAAGCATGGTTTGTCGACGAATCCATCGAGCATGCCGACGTGGAGGAATGGTTTGAAGAAGACGTCTGTCAGAATACACTATCAGACAACATGGAGATCGACGTATTAGAGAAACAAACTAACTCACCCATTTGGACCGACGATGAAATTATGGAAAGAATCCGAGAAACCTCACCAAATGACCAGCGAATTAGTAGCTTGATGGAAACTTTAGCAAGGCCGGTGGTGAAGGAGGTGGAGGAAGTACTCCAAGGTTACGAGGTGCACAATGGAATCCTTTATTATAAAGGATTAGTGGAGGTACCGGATGATAAAATTTGCAAGTTCCAAATCCTACGAAGTCGACATGAAAGTGTATTAGCCGGACACCCTGGAAGAGCAAAAACGCTGAGCTTAGTTCAAAGGCAGTATTGATGGAAGTCGCTGAAAACTTACGTGAACAGTTTTGTAGACGGATGCGACTCGTGCATTAGAGTCAAACCATCAAGCATGTCGCCGTTTGGATCACTGGAGCCGCTACCTATACCAGCGGGGCCATGGACTGACGTAAGTTATGACTTAATAACTGACTTACCGTTGTCACAAGGGAAGAACTGCATCCTCACCGTCGTTGACCGACTGACAAAAATGAGTCACTTTATTGCCTGCACGACGGAGATGTCATCAAATGAGTTAGCAAATCTGATGTTAGCGAACGTCTGGAAACTCCACGGCGCGCCTAAGACAATAGTATCAGATAGGGGAAGTGTCTTCATATCTATCTCTACTATGTGGGTAAGTGTTAGGTTCACGAGCTCTTCATTTCAGATATATCTAGTAATACAAGCTAACTACATATATCTCCGTTCTCAGCCTTATGCTATCCTAACCTAGGATTTCCTAAGTTGAGAATAGTGTGGGGGGGTGTCTCGAGCTTGGAAGTGTACCGGGGTTACCCCAGGGCCTCTTCTGAAGCCCTGCGGGTCTGACCACCGGTCCATTCCAAGTTCTAGACTGCGTAAAGTGCCTGAAAATGGGTACCGGAGAGCGTTAGTCCTAGCCTAGGGAAGGTGGGTGGGTGCGAAAAAGTTAAACTATGAATGTTTAACCTTCTTGAAGAGCGTGAATGCTCAATTATTCGACTAAAGGTGCGGGAGAGGAATATTTGAGATGGAGGAGAAATTTTTCCTCTCCCCTCTCTGTCTCTTTGCCTCCCTTGACTTGTCGTGTGTGTAAAGTTACAGGTGCACCTAGTCGAATCTTACCCCCCTTAGTGACAATAGAAATCCTTACCACGTCGTAGGGGAAGTGTCTTCATATCTATCTCTACTATGTGGGTAAGTGTTAGGTTCACGAGCTCTTCATTTCAGATATATCTAGTAATACAAGCTAACTACATATATCTCCGTTCTCAGCCTTATGCTATCCTAACCTAGGATTTCCTAAGTTGAGAATAGTGTGGGGGGGGTGTCTCGAGCTTGGAAGTGTACCGGGGTTACCCCAGGGCCTCTTCTGAAGCCCTGTGGGTCTGACCACCGGTCCGTTCCAAGTTCTAGACTGCGTAAAGTGCCTGAAAATGGGTACCGGAGAGCGTTAGTCCTAGCCTACCTTGCCTTGGGGCATTGGAGAGCCCCGAGCTCACTAGGACCTTTTCTCGTAGGTGCCTCAAGGCTTGTACAGCTGGACGCATGTTGACTCCCCTGTATTCCCCCCTTACATATTTGGTGGGGCAAACTTTAATTGTTCTTCTCGCTCCTCTGCAAACTCTAATTGTGTATTACACTTCTATTGCATGTTCATGTAATTTAGACTAGCCATATTGGGCGGCGGGCGCCGCACTCCTAAAAAGACACATCTGATGTCCATCTGCAAATAATGTGTAGGCTATACTGGCTCAAACATCACCCAGGCAGGAATTTGTTTTATAAAAAATTAGTAGTATGATGACTCACCAGACTCTATTTATTAACCCCATGGAAATCACTTCATATATCATAAGTAAAAAAATGCTTGCCTAAGGTAGCTGTAGAAAAATCAGGACATTCTGAGGGAGGACTGTTAGATTGTGGCTGCTGGAAGCAAGCAACAGGCAGGGGATAAGGCAGGGTGGGGTATGGAGACCATGCTCCCCATGAGCGCCAAATGTGGCAAGATCAATGATTGAGAGAAATGATGGTGATTTTGACCAGAGGTGATCTCACATACCCTTGGAGCCGGGTGATGATATCATTGTCCTAATACTAAGCCCTAATACCTAATACCTAAGCCTAATCCCTAAGCCCCTAAAAGTTTCAATATCAGAGTGCCTCAAGTTTCATTTTGACTTGGTGTTGTAGACAGCTCATGGGTTGTTCTAGAATGACAAAACCAATCAGATTCTCAGTTGAAACAGGTGTGCATATTCACCACACACCCTTTTTTTGCTGTGATAGGAGCAGCCATGAAGTGATACACATACCAGGATAGTTTTTTATAAAATAACACCAATGGTGAGGCTTATAAACAAAATATAGGTGTGCTTGCATCAATACAGTGGAGTCCTCACTGATGATATCACAAGTGTTTGCAATGCACTTGTCAGATCTCCTTGTCTTACTTACCTCAGGTGATCATTGGATTCCCTTTTTTGCCGTCTCTCCACCATTTAAGTGAATAATTTTGATTTCAATCATTCATCATAAGACTCATTATCTTGATCAACTGATTTTGGAGTCATACATTGTGTATGCACGTCAAGCATGTATTCTGAATCAATCTTCACTGGGTCATCTACTTTGTCAAAATCATTGAATAAAATTGACATGATACTAATGTTCAAGGAGTACTCCAATCACCTTTTGAGCTTGTGGAGAATACCATCATGAAGGTAAGGTGAACCTTTTGTGACCATCTAGGTGATGCAATCATGAGGAACTCGCTTCTGCAATCAAAATCAGAATTTACTTCATGATTTGTGTTCCTTATTCTGTCTGCTTTTCTGGCTCTTCTCAATGTTGAAGGAGATAGAGTGATAAGATTGACAGAATAATAACATCAAAACAAACACCTCTTGTGCCTACTGATTGAATGGACAACAATATTTGCTTCAATTGTGGGATACAAAGTTAAATCTGGGATTTTTTCCCAGTTTCCCAGTTTTTGTTTTTGGCTGTGTTTGGAACTTTCCCACGTTCTCCCAGTTTCCCAGTTTCCCAGTTTGCGTTTTTGGCTGTATTTTGAAAACTGGGAAACTGGGAAAAAACTCCCAGTTTTAACTTTGTATCCCATGAATGGACCAACTTTTCCTCCACTTTCTAACTTGAAAATAGAATCATGTAGAAGAAATGTCCACATCTTTTGAAGTTGAAAATTGGTGTAAAGAAATGCTGACCAGTAACTGCCATAGCAAGTGCACTTGGTTTTTATTAGCAGTAAAACCAACTACATTCAAAACAAACGCAATCTCTCCATTGATAGCCAAAACAATAGCTTTATTACTATCCATTTGATTTGAATCAAATTCTCTAACTGAATTCATTTCATCTGTCCAATAATTCCAAATCACACATTGTATAAGAGCTAAGACATTCTTGATAATAAATCTAATGGATCTAATCCTAATCTTCCAACTTAAATTAATATTGTAATCACTGATTTTGATGAAGCTAAAATAGTACCTAATAAAGTTGATATCAAACCTCAATGCTCCAGCCATAATCATGATAAGTCAAAAATCCTACACCTGCTACTACTATAAAGAGTGATAAAAAAGTTTGAAGTGGATATAATTTATGAAAATAGAAGATTTATAAGATGATGTCAAAAGTGGTATGGTAGCGCTTACAACTTGATGAAACAGTTTTACCTTACATAAAAGACAAAAAAGAACTGCATATAGTTCAGTCAACCTTGAAAAAATTAAAAGGTGTAAGAAAAAAAAGACTCACAGGAACATTCACAAGATGTAAAATCAACTTATAGACCACAACATTGAAAGTATAAAGCACACTAAAAGCCAGATCCCTCTTCCCCTTCTATTCAATCTAGCTGGTTTAAATAATCCATCTTTAAATAAGCCATGATTTAAAGCCATTTGAGATCAAATAATAGATGCCAAGCCATGTATCCTGTTTAAAGTCCATGGAATGAAAAACATGATAATACTTGTTTGTTAGAAATTAGAAGACCTCAATTGAACACGAGAGAATGAATCAACCAAGCTGTGGGTGGGTCAAATTTAGATGAGACACATTGGGGAGTTCAGTATAAGGATATGGATGAGATGAGTTGGTGAGTCCTAGTGGCAACGAGTTTACATGTTTGAAAGAGTGAGGTGTGAATCAGCACAAGGGATGTATAGAAGCCTAAAGAGATATGACTTGCTGCTTTTAATTAAAGAAGCTAAAGAGGAAGGTTGTTGATTTGAAGGATGTTTTGATGATTAAGATGAAGTTTAGGATGTAGCGCAAATAGAATGCTTGGGATCGATTGAAACTTGAAGTCGATCTAGTGAGTGTTAGATGTTTATCGAAAGAGGTAGTTGAAGATCTAAGGGTTGCTTGGAGTGATATTATAATCATTTATATTGGAATCAAGTTGATTGGTCCAAAAGTGGATAATGATCTTTGAAGTTGAGACAAAGGTGATCGAATTTGAATTGACCAATCTTGATGATGATGAAGTGCATGTTGTTGTTGTTGAATACAATTCGATTTTGAAGGTGGAGATTGAGGAGCGATTTAAACAGGAGAAGACGCCCAATAGACCGATGATAGTATAACACGACCTGATTGCCACACACCTCTCGCACGACCAATAAAGATGAAATTTGGTTCAACTTCTTGATTGAAGCTGGGTTGATAAGACTTGAGAGGCTGACTTCAAAAGATATATATCAAAACGAATGATCAACAGAATGAATAAAGAATAGGTAAGGATCTGGCGAAGGTAGATGAACTGATTGTCCTTTGTATCTCTCATCAACCAATTCTGTTGTAAATGAGTTAGTTTTTGATAATAGGAATCAATTTGATCGATGGAAGACTGTTTGTTTACCTTTTCTGATACTTAGCTTCGTAATAAACTGGCAAGTTCAGACATGGATAAAAACCGCTCTCTTTAGGATTCGTCTTGTGAGCTTCATAGCCTGTGAAATGAAAATCCGGATCATACAGAATGAGCCGAATCAACTGTTAGAATTCTTGAATGTGATGATCTCTTATGACATTGAAGAGAATCATGAATAGACCAGCGAACAGGAGACACTTACAGTGTCCTTGATCATCACTGAGTTTAAGATGAATCATTGTTGTACCCGTTGCATTGAAGTTTGATTTGTTCATTGTTACATAAAAGAACATTAGCTAGTTCGGGTGGTATAGTAAGATATTTCAATGAGATCTCAACAAACATTTTAAAACAGTTTAAATATCTGAAGGCCCTCACACTGAGAGCATTGCACTGATCGGAGGTAGTCTGTTCATTGGGGAATTAAGAGCTATGTTGAGATCAATTGTTTGGAATTCCCGAAGATTTATCAATATTTTCTATACTATCATATAATCTTGAGAAGCAAATGAAGTGTTTGAAAAATGACTTACGGGCACAATGAGCCTTCTTGTCTTGCATATCATCCTGATATTTAAACTCCTTATTTTGAAGGACCAAAAAAGGTAAGTTGCAATTGGTAAGAGTCGATTATATTTTTCAACATTCTGATATGCAGCTGAGGTCGCACAAAATCGGAGTAAGCTGATAAACCAGCCTCAGATGCTTTAGACCCTAAGAATGGAAAGGGTGCAAAGAATCGAGTGTAGTAGCTTCAGCTTTTGAATTTGCAGCCTGAGTGAAAGCCTTTAAGAAGATTCCAGTTGATTGATTTGTAAAGTTATCTAAAGCGATCAAGGTAGTTCAGGAATATCGGTCGGAGGCTGACAAAATGAACATATGAGACTCGTTTTGTCCTCAGTAAAGAAATCCAGAAGACTATATAAGATCGCCTACCACCACTGCTTCTGCGAATTGACTACGAATCATCTCTGGAGTGATTCCATTGGCACATTGGACATGTCGTGTAGCAGCTTCTCGATCAGCTTTCTCGATCGCTTGAAATACATTGATTAAGGCGTATTTAAGTTCTGTGACAGCTTGAATCCGATTAATGCATTCCTTGACCCTGCTCTGTTCGAGGTCCTGGATGCGAACCTTGCTTCATATTCTTTCGGCTACAGATGCCTGTTTGGTTACCACTTCATAAAGGGTCGATGCAACTTGAGCGAGTGAAGAGACCAATGGCCTAAGATCGGCTATCTGTGTGAGTGGCTGTTCTAGTCTTTCGGGTGAAGAGAGAAGGTTGGCCAAAGAGCTATCAAGCTCGAATTCCGTCGATTCTGATCGGTAAACAGCACTTGAGTCAATTGAGATCAATACTCAGATTCTTTGATCATATCAAAAAACAGAAGTAGTATGAAGCTCACCGAGTCGAGCTAAAGCTGTGATGATATCTCGATGTGATTGAAGGGTAGCGAGGTGTTGACGAGAATGGATTGGTGAGTTCGAAGGTAAGAGGTCATCAGTTTTTATTAATTGTCATCGTATAGTACACAAGAACCAAATCCCAATAACCTAACAATCAAAACAAAACCAACACTCGACTTCTCTGCTTCCTGCCTTACTCTCTGCAGTTGATCTGATACCAGTCACACCCATATCCCGGACCCCAATTCCACCTCAACCCTGATCCTTTCCATTTGATGTTAACATCCTATTGAAAAAGATGATTTTTGAACATCAGCCATTCTTTTGTTTTGCTCTGATTTGATTAATGTTAAAGAGATTCAATGGGTGTTATTATGTCAATGTAATGCTTGATGAGTTGGTTCTGTGAGAAAATAGAAGAAATCAATCACAGGAATGAATTCAAAATAGCTTACTTTTTGACACTGATACTTTTTGAATTCATTGGATTAGTAAACTTGAAGATCTGATCCTAATCCTTTGAGTCAATCTAACAAGATCTCAAGTGTGAAGTTTTGAATCGGGGAAACTGATTGACTGCTAGTGATTCATGAGCGATTTAAATGAGATCAAATAATCAATCTATCTGGATTATGACCAAGCTTCATTTATTTATTTCTATATACTTACTGATCTGATCTTGTTCCTATATAATCAAGAGTTCTTAACGTTCTTGATCGAGGTATTTGACAAAGGCTGTGTCTCTTCAGCAATAGCAAGTGCTCATCCGCTAAAAATCAAGAAAGTATGTAATGGAATGAAATGCAGATTAGTCAAATCATATTGCATCTGAAATAGAAGAGTAAAATCAAACTCAACTCTTCATTATCTAGATCTTCATGAATGAAAGGCAATGATTCTATGTGCGTTTGTGGAGGACCAAGAGCCAAAGTAATATTTGTCGAGTGATGAACTGATGGAAGCCTAGAAGCTACATCATCTGCTTGAGTTTGTCAATGAGATGGTTAATTTGATTATGTTTGAATACATCACAGAGAATGATAGAATCTTAAAATCGTATATATTCCGCCAGGGATTACGGTTGAATTTTGGATGATGTTTAGCTAGGATTTGCATTGGATCCTTTGATACATAAGGGGATTCGTGTGATACATATACCTACGTAGGAGCAATTTGGGTGCTTCAGGAAAATCGGCTAGGGGAATGTAGTTTGACTCGCAAATGATTGTCGGATGAGGTCAAAAGAGGCAAAGTAGCCAGCAGATGATTGGGAATTTGAATAAAGAAAACCACAAATGAATCTTGAAATGATTTCTGACCCATGTGCAAAACTTGAAAATTGCAATAATTAGGAGATTCGTGTGAGAAACATACGTAAGATCAACATTGGATGCTTGAGGAAAGTCGGCTAGTTGTGGATTGGATTGCAAAGTTGGATCGATCAGAGTCAGAAGAGGAGATGTAGCTGGCAGATTATTGGGAAATCGGATGCAGGGAACTGCAAATGGATCTCAAAATGGTTCCTGACACAGCATGCAAAACTTGAAAATGGCACTAATGGGGTATTTTGTCTAGTTTTGTTCAAGTCAATGGTTCTCCTTTAATATGAAAATGATAAGGATAAACAAATTCATGGTTGACCTTTAACTTGTAATGATCTTTTATTTTCTTTTTAATTCCATCTTTGCCAACCAACTCCTATTGACCTCAATCTCGTCTTCGGTGAATTTCCTCAAATATCTCTCGTATGCTTTTGACTTCCAACGTCCCTTTTCGATTATCTGAGGTAGAGGAAGGCCTTCGTTCCATAAGAACGATGCGCCTCCTACGCGGAAAGAATGGCCGGTAAGTTGCTCGTATCCGTCTTTCTTCCATAGGTTCCTCAAGATTGACATCACTCCTCCTTTCGTTAATCTTGTTCCTCCGTTCCCTGTTTCATGATCGTAGGTAAAGAGAGGATTATCTGCGTATGAGCCACTTTCTACGTGTTTCTTCAACAGTCGTTCGATTGCTGCGACAGGGCATAGAAGCGATTGATGTCTTCTCAAATTAAGGAACTGCACTTCTCCGGGTTTCGCCGTTTTGGTTTCTCTCAGTGCCAAGGACATTATTTGCTCGTCTGGAGATATTTTCACGTCGTCGATTAGTATAACTCTCGAGTCTCGTAAAGTGGTGAGTTCTCCCATGCGTGCCATTCCCCAGAATGCAACTAGGGCTATTGTAACTGCTAGTTCAGCTGCCCCGTCCTTTCTCGGTAAGTTTTTCAGCAGGCTCGCTAGGTGTAGGATTTGTACAGGGCGCTTCTGAGGCCGATTCTCTCCTTTCGCGTCTAGGAGTTTGGCTGCCTTCATAGCCAAGTTAATCTCTCTTTGATCTATATCCGGGAAAGTCAGGCGGTGGAACAGGTGCCAGGCCCTCAGGCCGGAAAGGTACGCTTCGATCGTTGAGGGTTTGATCTCATGATTCGTTTGTGGTTCGCCTTCGATTTTGGGAGCGGCCCATTCGATGAATCCGAGGACTAGGTCTGCGCTTGCTGGTAAGATTTGGTTTCTTTCCTTTCCTTCTTGTCCGCCAAAGACCATAAATTTTGTTATCGCCGAGTTGTACTGGATCAGAGTGTCTTTGGACCAACTACCTCCAAATATCATCAACCTCTGTACTGGGTTCTTATCTAGTGTTACAACGCCATCTTGATTGCTGATGAAGTTGTTTATTTTCTTTAGATTTTCTGCATTCATTTTTGCTCTAGGAAGGTCGACAAGTCTTCAGGTAGTTGGATAATGACTTCGTCGTGGGGATTCAAGTCGGTCTCAAGACCTCTCGAAAGCGCGTCGGCGTCGTTGTCGCCTGAGGTAACTCTGTGTTGTTTTATCGAGCAGTGGTTGGTGGTTAATAATTTTTGTATTCTTTTCCATTCATTATTCACCGCTTGGTCTTTAGACCGGGTGTTTCGGATGGCCGCTTCAGTCGTTGTATTATTGGTCCATACGATGAAACACTTCCCCTTGAACTCTTTCATTTTCAGCACTACCAGGAGGCCTAAACGAACTGCGACTGTCTCCATCCATGCTATATTGCGTTTGATGCCGTCATCTCTGACGTCATCCCAACCTGGTATTAGCTTGAACCTCGCCCAGTGTGCTCCTATCAGCACACCGATCCCGTAAGACGTCGAGGCGTCCCCGACCCACTTTATGTCCTCTGGTTCAAGGTAAGGTATGATGCGCATGTGTTCGAAAGTGGTGAGTACTTGAAGCCATTCCTCGAGGTCGTCTCTTACTGACTCTGTGATTCCTCGTCTTGCTTTGCTGTTTCTCCACGCTCCTTCCCAACCATACAGTTCTTTCATGTAGCATTTCATATCTGGCATAATGTAGGTGATATGACAGAGTTGGCCAACGAGTTTCTCCACTGGTTTCTTTTTCCACTTCTCACCATTAAGTAAGGCTTGGACTTGTCTGATTCTCATTTCTAGTTTTTCTACTGGAAGTCTAACAGTTTTCTCTCGTCCATTCCATATAAAGCCGAGATATTTTTGTTTGTCGGCAAAATCGGAGTATTTGGTAAGATTCGTCTTTACACCCATGTATGAACTCAACTCGAGCACTGACTCCATTCGAATCGGTGAACCTAGTTCTTTCACAATCAGGTTATCATTGACCCATCGAAAAATTTTTGGAATTCCGATGGCTTTCTGCATGATTTCCTTCCAAACATCAGCGGCTCTTCCGAAGGTTCCGCAACCTGCGACGCCTCCAAATCCGACCCTTGTGTCCACCCAGAGCCTATTCAGAAAATCCAGAATCAAGAGATATTTCCATTGCGAGGGGTGGGTTGGTATTTGGCGATAGGCTTTAAGCCAGTCGAACAGCGCTAATTGCCACTTCTTGTCCGTGTTTCGTAGGAAGTTTGCTAGGAATTTGAAGTCGTCCCAGGTTGTTATAAACTCGTCTTTGTCTACGAAAGAGTTGACGGACTAATTTTAAGAGTCAGTCTTTCGTTTCTCTTAGTCTCTTCTCTCTCCTTTCCGATGTACTCACGGGGATATCTGTTCCGTGCTTTGGATATGACAGATTGCTTATCATTCTGAATGTTCCATCGTTGTTTGTAACACTCCCCATCGGGTTTGATCGAAAGAAGCCAAAGTGTTTCTCCACTTCTTTGTGTGTGAACGGCCCAAATAGTTTGCCTTCTGCGTGTTCTCTTTTTATTGTCGCTTCTATCTTGTCTTTCACCAGGAGTGCTGATTTCTGGTTGGGCGGTGTGAACCATTGCAGGCCTTCTATAGTATGCTCGGGGATCCCTTGATCAAAGCCTTCCCTTAGACTGACCAATACATCTCCCCATTCTTCTATCATCTCGAATTCTCTCATCAAGGCTTCCCACTCGTCGATGTTGAGTTCGCACTCTGCCTTGACTGGCCATCTCCCTCTTGGCTCGAGGTTTGTCCGCCTGATTCCTTCGCTTTCATTGTCACTTGCAAGCTCATCTGGGTCTATTCCGTCCACATCTTCCGCTAGGACTTGGGAACTTAGGCTGGGCAAGGTGTGAACATGGTATGTCAGTTCGTGTTCTCACAAGATTCATTTGGCACTACAATTTCTCGACTCAAGGTCTTTATGCATTACGTCACAAACTTTCGTTGTCTCTCGTGTACATTTTTAATACTCACTTCTTTTGGCTCCCTTCTCCTGCAGCATTCGGGCGCATTTGGGAACTGGACGCGACCGGTCCACCACTTTCACCTTCTCCTTGTGGTCTCCCCCAGCTTCCTCTCTTGGCTCCTCCTCTACCGCCTCTACCCGTGTCCTTCTTGTAGTTTGGGTTAAAGTTTTCCCGTTTCCCTTTAAAATTTGGGTTGATGTTTGCCCGAGAGTTGTCTACTACATGCGGTTGGAAGTAGGTTTGGGGATTGGATGTGGACGGTTGATTGAAATGGTGATACGCTTGTGGTGTTGTGTTGTAAGCGTTTGGGTTTTCATGTGGGTCGTATCGACTTTGTGACCACAAGGTTGATCTAACTGATTGACTTGATCTGATCGTCTCTAGTCGGTCATCTTTCGGATCCGTTCGACTTGGGTCATCCCACTTCGTATTCCTGCCTTGCCAGTTCGTTCCATCTAATGGATCAATAAAGCACTTGGTCCCCGTTAAGGCGTACGGGTTATCTAGGAACATATCGTCGTTCCTTCTCAGGGTTTCTCTTTCTGCAAGTCTTTCGATCGTCGGGTTGCGCACACCAATATCTGCCATTGCCGTTCCATCTTCTCCAATCTTGAAAACTAGGTATGTTTGGCGCATCATCAGATCGTACCGATATGCCTGTACCCAGCAACCATCATTTTGGTCTTGGATCTTCAAGACATTGGCGAAGTGTTCTTTCATTACCGGTAGGACTTCAAACTGTTTGTACCGTTTGAGATATTGAAGAAAGAGTTCTTTTTGGCGATGCCATTGAGCTACTGTGGTTCTCCACTCGTTGGGGATTGGGTATCCGTTATACGATGCTGAGTCAGCGTCTTTTGTCTTGGTTCTAGACGTTTTGTTCAAGACGAATGCTATATCTTGGCGTAGCCAATTGGGGTCGAAGATGGATAGCGGGATATACCGGTTAAATTCTTTCATGGCGGTATCCCAATAAGGTGAGAGTGCATTTAGATGTTGACTGAGCATCTCCCCTTTTTGGACTTTCATCGTTTTCTTCTCTGTCGAGGACTTGGTGCTTTTCTTGCCTGCGTTCGTGCTCGGGTTGTCTTTCTTCCCTTTGAAAGCTAACCATTCTTCTTTGTCTTTCGCTAGTCGATCATAAGTTGTTCGATCTCCCGCGGTGAACGCAGCCTCCATTTGCTCGTCAAGACGTTGAGTTACGCTATCCATGTAGGGTGTTTCTACAATTGTCTGTGTTTTGACTTGTTCACCTGTGAGGGGATTTCCGAAAGGGGCATTTGAAGTTAGTTCTTATTCTTCTTTGTCCTCTCTTTCTTTTTTTTTTTTTTTTTTTGGAAAAGAATTTCCTTTGTGTGGGGTTATCTACGTATAGATTTTTGACTATGTCTTCCCTCCCTTCGTCTTGTGTGACATATTTGGGTTCATTTTCTTTTCATCTCCTTCAGAGGCATTTCCTTTATGGAAGAATTGGAATAGGTTGGGGGGGTTTAAGATAGGAAATTTTGTTGCAACTAACGTTCAACCGGGTCACCAAGTGTTATTCCACCCACCGTTCTCATGGCTGGGCGTTCATCACTTCTTTTGGTATCTTCCCATAATCTACCACTTCTAACTTGTTGATCGTCTTCTTTTTCACTCGATGATCCGACTTGCTGATCATACTCGATTTGTTGTTCCACAGGGGGAGGTCGACTCGGTTTTGCTGCCTGAGGTTTGGCCGCTTGTGTGTCGTCAGCTGCTGGTTTGTTGCTGGCTGATGGTTTGTTGGAGCCGGTTTTAGTGGCCTTTGAAATCTTGCTCTTACTTGCTTCCTCATTCGGTTTCACTTTCTTGATTTTGATCGGGCTGATTAGCTTAGATGTGCTGGTGGCCGGTGGGGGAAAAGGCTTGGGCGGTGCCGCTTTCCTTTTCGACTGTCTCGTTGGGACCGATTTAAGTATTGCCGGCGTTGTTTCTGGTGGGTTTTCGTCTACTTTTTGACTTTCTTCGGTGTGTTGATCGTCTTGATTCCTTCTTGTTTCTCCTGCTCCATCTTCTCTTTCCTCCTCTGATTTCTCCACTTCTTTTCCTTTTCCTTCTGTCCCTTCTCTCCTTAGTGCTTCATCAATTTGATTTTGAAATTCTTCGCTGTCCATTCTTTGTTTTGGTCTTGTGGATTCGGGAAGAAGAGGAGAAAGTGATATTTGAGATTGTATATTCAGGGAAAATTAAGGGGTAATGGAGAATGTGTCTGAGAGTTCTGGAAATTCAAGGTGTTATCAATTCCTAATCTTGTATGTCTTCTTTTGTCGATGCGAAAAAGTTAAACTATGAATGTTTAACCTTCTTGAAGAGCGTGAATGCTCAATTATTCGACTAAAGGTGCGGGAGAGGAATATTCGAGATGGAGGAGAAATTTTTCCTCTCCCCTCTCTGTATCTTTGCCTCCCTCGACTTGTTGTGTGTGTAAAGTTACAGGTGCACCTAGTCAAATCTTACCCCCCTTAGTGACGATAGAAATCCTTACCACGTCGTCCCTTTGGTGGGAAGCTGTCATCAAAACTTACAGAATCGCTGAACAAACAACTAGGCATTGCAATCCACCCGTCGACAGCATATCACCCGCAGTCAGACGGCCAAACCAAGATCGTCAACAAAGCAGTTGAACAGTACCTTTGTCATTTCGTGAGTTATTGCCAAGACGATTGGACTGACTACCTACCATTAGCAGAATTCGCGTACAACAACAGTACACATACGTCAACTGGAGTCTCCCCGTTTAGAGCAAATGTTGGATATGACCTGTCCTTCGGAAGGATCCCGTCAGCTGAAAGGTGTATACCAGAAGTGGAAGATAGATTGAAAAACATAGAAGAGATTCAAAACAAATTAAAGGAAAACTTACTACGAGCACAGGAGGTGATGAAGAGAAACTACGATGAAAAGGTACGACCTACACCCGACTGGAATGTAGGAGACGAGGTATGGCTCAACAGTCACCACATATCAACAACACGACCATCCGCCAAACTCGACCACTGTTGGTTAGGCCCGTTTACCATTGAGAAGAAAGTATCAACATCGGCCTACAAATTACGTTTACCAATCAGTATGAGTAAAGTACACTCAGTTTTCCACGTCTCAGTATTAAAAAAACACTCACCGGATTTGATCGAGGAGAGACAGCAGGCAACCCCTTACCCGATCGAAATTGAAAACGAGGAAGAGTGGGAAGTCGAGGCTATATTAGATAAGAGAATAAGATGAAAGAAAATTGAGTACCTAATTAGTTGGAAAGGCTATGGTCGATCGGAAGATTCTTGGGAACCAGAGGTGAATGTCGCAAACTCTAAGTTATTGATCGACGAATTCAATTCAAAATACCCGAAGGCTGCAGAAGAACACGGAAGATCAAGGCGTATGTGAGAGGGGCGAAGCTTTTTCCCACTGGGTTTTTTAACGCGAGCCCCGGGGAAGAACGCAGGGCCGCGAACAGGGAGCCTGGGCGTAAACGGGGGATAGTGTTATGATCCTGTCACGGATCATGGAGCTGTCACAACATGTGACATGTGTAACTCTCAACCTCATGCGAGCCAGCGCTCCACTTGTATTGCTCCTCATGCTACAATAACTATACTACATACTCAGCACCCTTTCCCTCTCTCTGTCCCCATCTCAAGGCCCCTGAAGCTGGCCATAACAGAGGGGACTGTACAGCCAACTCATAAACGCTTGACCAAGTTTGCCCCCAACACTCAAGAAAATTGGTGGAGAATGTTTGATAAGCTTTCCTCAATTTGCTGTATGTAATCTGCACAGCTCAACTGGTTGCAAGGCTTTTGAACAAGGGTGTACCTGTTCAGTCCAGGATTCTGGGTGCAAATGGTGTGAGAAAGCAAATTATAATATTTTCATCATTTTATAACATACAAACTATATTTTGAACCTAATTGCATAGCCTCATAGTCAGAAATTGTGAGATAGAATACACTGTAGCTGTGTTAGGAGCAAATTGTGTGAACTAAAAGAAACGGTCTATGGACCCAAGGCAACACCAAAATTGCTCCGCAATGCTGTGATTTTTCTACCATCTTCATTGCACTGTGAAGTGACCACTATGAATCACACAGCTATTAGATCACTGCTTTTGATATTTTTTGTCTCTCAGGATTGTGAAGTGGTCAACTACTATTTTTGCAATACATAGTGATTCATAGTGGTCCTTCTGTACCTGCACTATATAACGTGCTGAGATGTTTAATTCAATGATCATATTAAGGCCAAACTCAGCTTGAGTCGTGAGTCCTTTTCTTTTCTACCTGATTGGGGAGCATCAACAGTAATAAACAAAGCTTTAATCCCATTTGATTCATCTTGTATCAGTATTACAAAAGGTTTGGTTTTAACTCAATCTAAATTTGCAGAGTGAAAACAATTGAGATTGATGTTTCAGATTTTAAATTTCTCAAAACAATCCTGATGAAAGTGTAGGAATCATTTGGATCACCTCTTTCATTGGTGCTGCTCTTGTTAAATCCTTTTCTCCATCAACATGACCTAATTTTCCTAATGCAGTAGCGGTAAAATAACCATTAATACAGATAAGTGTGTTTTGATTGGCTACTTTCAATAGACCACTTGAAAAGAAGATAAAAAATGGTATCAGATAGGTACAGAAGTTTTATAACCCTGATTCAATAACTTGGTTGACATCTCCTTCCAATTATCCTCAATCTTATGTCTGGTACATCAAAGATCAGATACCAGTAGGTTTGAATGGCAAAAATGTATGACTGGCAAGCTTTGTCATAATCCCCTTTGGCTTCATCCTTTGTAGATTGGGAGGCTATCTTCTGTGATCAATGAATTGGATATGAGGAGAACGGCTAGTAGGCAAAGACCTAGAGAGATATACCTAGGTGTGTCCTGAGGTTTTTGCTTCATTGCTTTGTTCAAGGTGTTCAAATCCATTGTACCAGAATTCTTTCAAACAACCAAAAATATGTTTGATTGAATATCTGATGTTAAGCTGATATCACCAATGTTTACAAGATGGTACACCTAGCAAGCAGCAGAGCCCCTCAACTTATTGGGATGAAAGACTTGAGCATGAAAAACTGAGTGATGGGGTAGAATTGCAGAAGTGAGGTTTTGGTAGAGATCCCTGTCAGGTGAAGAGATCCCGCACCTGATTTTTTGATTAATTGATTTCAGTGTTTCACAGTTTGAAATGTAATTCCATCAGCTTGAGAATGAATTGAAGAAACTTCAGAATAAATTGGAAAATCTGAGCCAACAGACTCATGAAGTACTTTACCCTCAATGTCTAATTTGATCACTGTGGTAATTAAAAAATGATTGGTATAGATCTGGTAGACTAGGGTGAGGGGGGTAAAGTTTGATGAGGGACCAAATGCCCTGGCCCTGGCTACTGGGCATCTCTCTGCTATATAGCGGAGAAACCATAGCCTGGGCCCATTGTGCTGTGGTCATACCACTATGATTTTTTGGGACTCTGAAGTGTGGTGCACAGCAACCACAATACGCAGTGGTGCAATAGCACATACCAAAGTTTCTCCAAAATTGGAATCCATTGTGGAGTGGTTGTGGTATTGATTATGGCTCTCTCTTAGCCAAAACAGTTGGGTGTTTCTTCATGGTACACAATCAACGCAACAAGATGTGTCAAATCAACAGTTTTTTGGGGCCACAACAGTATGTGTTGTGTTAGTGCCTAAAAGAATGTGAATTCAGCAATTTTTTTGGTGCTGTTGCGCCTGTTGTGTTGCGCAGCACCATGAACGCCGTGCAACCCAAGCTTACCTTTGGTTGTTGCTGTAATTAATGCACCAACCCGGCCCCAACCCGATGAATCTGAGCTGGACCGGGGCCAACCTCCCCCTCAGACCGGGCCGACCCGGTCCGCTAGCCCCAGTGATGTGATATGCTCAAAAACCAAAAAAAAACGTAAATATATGATAAATATATGATTTTTCGATTTTTCTTCTCTTCTGTAGCCTTTGCTGAAGCTATCCAGCAGCTATTCTACAACAAAGAGACAAAAAATTTGTTGTATATATATGATACTTGAAGAAATTAAGATGATTTTGGTAAAATTTGCCCCCTAACATATGCCCGGGCAGACCCGGCTTTACCCAGATCTTAGCCGAGACCCGCCCGACCCGGTCCCGGTCCCGGTACCAGATCGGGTTTTGCGGACCGGGTCGGTGCATTAGCTGTAATTACCACAAATCAGTGTCTGCTGCGGGGTGTTGTTGCATGTTGTGGAGAAATGCACCAAAAAACTTGCTTACTGTGGTGCAATGTGTTGCTGGTACAGGGTTTCTACCAGGTTGAAGATTTTGGATGATGTTCCCCCCTTTATTTATTGTTTAAAACATTATCATTTTGTTTCTATCATACACTTATTTTGATAATACCGTAACCTGGTCACTGAAATACACCCTTTATTACAATTGTAAAGAGAAGTGTACTTTAGTAGTATAGCTTTGTGACTTACAAAGTCTTTTGGGAATAATATCAAAAAGATATTGTGCTTGTTTCTCTTTGTTATAAGTCTTGAACAACTCTAAAGGTGTTGAGAGATAATAAAAATCAGTTGCTTTTCATTTAAAAATTCATGCTTTTGGTCCTTTAAAAACAATAAGTTTTTTCATTTGGTTCCTTATTGGTACTCTCTTCAACAGAGATATTTCTGAATGACTTGTTTTAGGCACTTCCCACATAGTTGCCTTGGCAACAAACGTCTGAGGAGTCCTCAGATGGCCCCTCTGAGTAAAAGGGCACCCGACAAATACCCCCAGGCAAATTTTGGCCGTTGCTGTTGCCTCAGATTGGATCCTTGGTGGGAGCTTCCCTCAGAGTCAAAATCCAAGAACTCCTCAGATTTTTGCATCCAAGCCAAATATGCTGGCTGTGAGAAGGGAATTCAATAGACATCTTCTACTATCTATTTTATCAGTAGATTATCCCCTCTCAGATATGTATGACCCTTTTTGGGTTAGAATTTCTACAACTTTTGCACTGCTTCTGCAACCTTCCAAACACCTAAATCAATCCAAGCAGCTGAAGTAGACTTGTACCTTCAAGGAAATCATCCAATTCTCCCTGGCCAATCCATACTGTCTTTGTGGACGGTAAGTTTGGTATCCTACTCATGACTCAAATACAATAGCCGAGAACCAACCTGGTATCTTCTGTAACAGGATAATGCTTGTCACTACCCTGTTCTTGCATCAATTGTGCTAGACTATCTCAGTATTTCAGCTACTTCTTGCCCTGAAACATGTATTCTTTTGGGCAGCCAATATTACTGCTCCTGGCCGGGGTTCTTTGAAACCCAAAACAATCACTGGTGATGTTGGCTGTTGAGAATGGCTAAGATATGAAATTGCTACTGAAATTTTCAGGTGTAGTTGGAATCAGGACCACTATGGTAAATGCATTGCCAATGCAATTCATTGGCCATTGCTTTGTAATTATTTGATCCTGAGTCAGTTGTCTGGCTGAGCAAGTAAGAACAAATAAATTACAAGATGTCAGGATAATGCAGAGTTTGGAAACAGACAACAGAAAAAGCACAAATGACTCATCTTATCTATGAGTTTTTGCTTGATCAATACATTTGCTAAAGGTTCTGCCATTCAAACCCCTTGGTGTTCCCATGCAACTACTCGAGCATGAGGGGATTAGATTTGTATCTCCAAGTGGAATCACCATAAATGACTGTTGCACAGATGAAGGCGTGCTGATTTCCTCTTGCTAGCGATGCGGTCTCGGTGTTAATTCCAGGGTCCTATCTAGCTTTTACTCTGCCCGTGGGCACGCCGCGTGGCAATCGGCGTCGGTCAAAGGGTAAACTTCACATATCAACAAAATATACTTTTGCCGGGTCTTGCATAAATAGTTGGGAAAAAGCAAAAAAACCATTTACAGAAAACATATATGGATAAGTTTGAGTACCAATTTGATACAATCTCTGGCAGTGTTGTGCGCTTCAAGTTCAATGTGGTGAAGTTTGAATTTCTGTCTGATCTGCAAAGAGACGGCAACATCAAAAAGCGGGGATCTCCTGATGGAAGGTTTCGAACCGATCACTTCTTTTGTAGTGCAAGGCGCAATATATAGACGAAAGGCAATGCTTGCCACCAGCACCCCAAGAAATTATTCGCGTTTTCCTGCCTAACATTCCCGTTCAAATTGAAAATACATACACCATCGTAGCTCCATCTCTCTAGTGTCAAAGAAATTAAGCAGTGTAGCGATGTCCAGTCAAACGGTACTTAGCCCACACAGCTCTACTAGGTCATTACTCTTGCGTTCTTTCGTTATCCTCAAGTTGCTTTATATAATAGCTTCTGATGTGTTTCTTTGACCTTACTCGAAATCTATAGCTTCAGCGTTGATGTCAATGCAGTGCAAGGGGACGTGCTCATCGGCCTGGCCAAGAAAACAGAGGCTTTCGTATTTCTTACCATCAAAGATGATGAAGACTCTCGATTAGCTTTCCGTCAAACGTTGAAATCCAAGCTCCTGCCTCTGATCACCACCACTCAACAAGTGCTCGACACTCAACGGAAGATAGAGGAGAGCAAATACCAAACCAAGCCTGGCGAGCCTAAAAAGATCTTACCGATCACTGGATTAAACATAGCATTCAGTGCTTCCGGGCTAAAGAAATTAGGAGTCGGCGAAACGGAGATTCCTGAGGATGCTAAAGCGTTCATCGCCTCGCAAAAGTCTGATGCAGTCACGAATCTAGGTGACCCCGTTGACCAAACAGGTCAAAAACTATCAACTTGGTCAAACGAATTTCTTCAACACTCTATCGACGCTGTGATCCTTATCACTGCTCCTGACCACGGACTGTTAGACCATAAGATCCAAGAGGTAAAGCATTTGATACATTGTACTACTTCCCATACCTTCATTCGCATTGGGGTGGTTCGACCTGGTTCTGAAGCCGGGCATGAGCACTTTGGATATTTGGTAAGATTGTTTGAATTCCGTTCCAGCTCACAACAAACCTGTTTTCAATGTTGTTGAAAACTCTTTCTGTGTAGGATGGAATCTCGAAGCCTAAGATCGAAGGCTTTAACGCAACTGAAGCCGATAAAAAAGCTGGAGTTATAAAGCCAAGCGTCATCTTAGTGGGCCAAGCCGACACTCAACAGGCCAAACCACTTGATCCATCTCAAGGTTGGATGAAAGATGGATCTTTCCTCGTCTTTCGACAACTACAGCAACTAGTTCCAGAGTTCCATAAGTTTTGTCAAGATATTGCTGACAAGAATCCACAACCTGGTGTGACTGGTGAATTTATTGGTGCTAGAATTGTAGGAAGATGGAAATCTGGTCAGTCAAACAGCGTACTCTGTTTTTGCCTCTTGATTTCTGAAGAGTATAACTAATCCCTTGAACTACGGGTATGATTAGGCGCTCCACTGGTGTTGGCTCCCGTCGAAGACAAGCCAGAATTAGCCAGAGTAGACGATTTTGACTTCTCAGATGATTTGGTGCAACAAAGATGTCCCTATGCTGCCCATATCAGGTACGTATGCTTATCGATTCCTCATGATCTTTTATAACTTCACTTACTAACAATGGAATCACATAACCAGAAAAACCAACCCTCGTGACGGCATAGAAGGTGCAGACCCGAATACTGCGGTCTTACCTCATCTTATCACTCGTAGTGGTATAACCTATGGTGGATTGCCAACTTTCTAAAGGTCAACTTGACTTTGAAAACTAACGCAATGCTTGATGTTTCTAGGTCCTGAGTTGACTCCAGAAGAAGTCAGAGAGAATAAGACTAAGCACAATAGAGGATTACTATTTGTCTGCTACCAAAGCAAGGTGGAGGACGGGTTTCAATTGGTTCAGAAAGTAAGATCATCAAAACTTGCAATTGTTTAAGTTGAAAATGACATGTATCTTACTTCTTCTTTTAACTTCCCTATCGTCCAATTTGTTCACAATTTGTTTACAAGGTATGGAGTAACAATCCAGATTTTCCTCCGAAGAACCCAGCAAAAGTGACTGCTGGACTCGACCTTCTTATTGGTCAGAATGGAAAACCGGGACCACGTGTTGCTCAAAACATCACGTCGAATGTAAAAAAACCACCCCTTTGATACTAAAGTACCTAAAGCTTTCACTCAAGCTCAAGTCATGTTTTTTTACTGTTGGAATAGGGTACCGTCGGAGATACAGATCCTAACAATATTGTCACCGCTGATGAATCATTTGTTCATCCTTTAGGGTAAGTCTTATTGAAGCCCACTCTTTTTAAATCATCACTGATGCAACAACACGTTTTCAATTTCTACTCTTCATCAGCGGCGAGTATTTCTTCTCACCTTCAATTGAAGCTATCAAATCTAAGTTGGGAGCTTAAGAAAATTCTTCAATCACGTACACTTGCCCAACACCTGTGTTGAATTCAAAAACTCTGTCTTATCTCTTGACTACATATGGAAAATCATGTTTCCTGAATTTGCCAAATGGGTTGTATTTTTGACTTGAATTGTTTCAACATCAAAGTTGTATTATATTTCTACACTTTTCTTTGACTCGAATTGAAACATGCATGATTTTATGTTTTGAAATTCACAGGTCTCTCTGCTCTTGATGAAAGGTTCCATAGGAGATTCATTCATTGCCGTTGATGCAGGACAGACTGTTACACATCCTCGGACCCACTAACACATTCAAGATCATTTGTTTGACCTCATTAACAATATTACAGTTTGCATGAATCTCATAGGCTGAAGCTTCATTCTTTTTAGAGTTTTGGATGATTGTGATTTGAGAAGCACACTGAACTTTTGCCACCAGGTTGAGAACTTGAAGTTGAACACGCCATTCAGAGCATGTCACATCATGACTAAATTGATCTTCCTGTGACATGTGCTATGTTGCTGTCAAATTGTCACTTATGTACGTAGGGTGAGTGTCACTGTGATGTAGACTATGGTTTCACGTATGTATGGCAAGTGACAGGGCTCAACCCACAAGCTCGCGCGCGTTTCCCGGTGCGCGAAGGTTGACATCCCCCTAGAAGATGGACACCAATAGCGAGCACGATGCCGAAGGATGGAGCGCTGATGAATGGGAAGGCGATGATGAAGACCCAATAGTGAAGGTAAGCATTCTGATGTCTTTCTCCCTCTTCTTGATCAATCTCTTCACGAACTGAACTTCCGGTCTTAATCAATTTATTTCGCTCAGCGAATGCCACTTTTCTTGAGTTCGGGTCCCGATTTCTCATTACCATCATTAGCACATTTTCAACCCATCTTAGAAGAAGAAACAAAAGATGCAAATTCAAATCAAACTAAAGCAGGACCAAAGAAAATTATCAACCCATTAACTCTCTTACAATATCCTTTTAAACCACATAATCCAACAACACCTCATGTTTTACTTCCACCTTCCTTAAGACCTGAATCAAATTCAAATTCAACTAGTGGTCAAATTTATGCTAAATTCAAACCTGGTGTTAGACATTTGAATCTTGAAGTTCCTTTGGAAACAAAACTTGGTACAGCTGAAGGTCGATTTTCAGATGAAAGAGCTCGAGAATATGCAAAAGGTCTTCCAGATAAAAAAGCCGCGGTTCCGGGAGTTCGGAGTAACGCTTTTGGTAGAGACGATGAGCTTGATCCATTAGAAAAAATCACACTTGGATCTACTTTCATACCAGAACAAACGAATTATTTTGTTGGAATCCTTAAGCCCGGTTCAAGTGAAGATCAAGATCAATTACATCTTGTTCCTTTAGGTCAAACTTTACAACTTCGGCCGTCCTTGGACTATTTAGACCGATTAGCTGCCATTAATGCTCAAGCTGATAAGGCTGCCAAACGAGAGGAAGGTATCGGTAGTGAATCAGAGGACGATTCTGGGGATGAAGAAACTGAAGAAATGATAAAGAAAAAAGCTCTTGCAAAGAAAAAAACAGAAGCAAATGAAGCCAAGGCGATCCAAGTATCTGTTGCTGGACCAGGAGATTCAGATAAGCTTGGTGGAGGAAGACCTGGTGGAGGTTTGTTTGCACCTATCAGAGCTGCGGAAGCGGAGACGCCGATTCCCCTCACACACTATCATTGTCACGTTAGTATTCTTTGAATCAGGCTCTCTGAGTGTTCAGATTTAGTGATGTGAACTTACAGCTGACAAATTCGTCATTTTATGTGCTGTTCACTTTAGACCAAGGAATCAGAAGCTATTGCCCAAAAGATGTTCTCAACTTCACGCGACAGGTTGACTTCCATTTCCTCGTGGCACGAGCTCCTAAAAGTGTAGGTCGAAGGAAATTGACGCAATTACACCTGAAAACACGTTCCCTCGCCTACAACAAAATCTCGTTCCTCCCAGGCCTATCACCTCAAACACTTGAAATGAGTGTTTTGATCACTGCATTTGTTCGCTCAATAACTGATATCTGTACACGCAATAAATATTGTAATTAAAATACCAGTAAATGCAAGTTCACATTAATTGACTGATTTGAATCTAAAGTGAGGAGCACAAGATCAATGCACTGATCTCTAACACCTTTCGAGAGATATCATGGGCTAAGGGCTATTGAGTATAATTTCGAGGTCAAAAGAGGGCGATCAAAATGCCTCAACTGAATGTGTACAGCCTGTTCTCTTTACCGGGACTCTAGAAATGCTTGCAAGGTGATATGTTGTGATTGTTTTGGCAGGATCTGATAAATCAAAATATTGAGTAAATGGTGAACAAGTTGTCGGTGCAGATATTTAGAAGACCTTGCAGCTGAAAGGCCTTTGCGGCATTGTCCTTTTCAGCTTGAATCAAAGGCCACTGTTAGACTGTAAAAGGTTCAATATTTCTTTCAAACGGAACCAAGCTTACAATTACATCTTACAATATGTATCAAAAGGATATATCACAAGCTACACCAGTCTAAGATGATCCAAGACTTACAAATGCAGAAGCATAACTCACACTACTATCACGAGCTGAGACGCATTGACTGGATTGAGCATAACAAGTGAATTTCAACTTAGCTGGCTCAGTGATGGTTTGAAGTGCTCCCAAGAGAACACCAATTGGGTGTCGACCACATATAGTGTTCTTAGTTTGAGAAAGGTAACGGCTGAATTCCGAATGAGACAGACTTTCAAGTATGTTAAGCGCTTCCCGGTCTAATGCCTCGATTGATTGGTAAATTGGCGTTGCTGGAGGAGATGCACTCGAACTCAATTTGCGAGCCGGTTCATTTTCTTGAGTCGGGTCTTTATAATAAGTGTACGAAAAACGCGAGCCCCTGTTGTGCGTCCAATTGATGTGACAATGAAAACAGTGGGTCAGCGAACCATATAGAACGTGGTATCTGTGTCGAAATATAAAATGTCTTGTGGCGACTCACCAGTGACAAAAGTCAGATGAGATGACAAAAAGGTTTTCCGGTGAAAGGAGATAGGGTCGCAATACTTCGCCATAAATAAGTTCTTTCTCAGAAGATATCGATCCTATAAGTATAGGGACAATGGTGATGGTCTGACTATAATACAGCCAGATTGGAAGACAAAAGATTGATTAGCTATTTGTTCAAACACAAGACCGGACTGTTTATTTGAAAACTTAGTATTACGAACTCCTTGAAAATGTGTCGCACGTAAGGAAGGTGAAGTTCGATACTATGTTCGGCCTCGTCAGTTTCGATGTCCATCTCTTCGAAAAGGCCGGATTGCACCAATTCAGAGGTAACTGAGATGACCGAGCAGAAATGAGAAGATTGAAAGACATTGAGATGAAACTCAGTTTGCCAAGATGCGTCAAAAGAGAAACAGGGAGATTCAGAAGCCAAAGAGAAGCAACCTTGTACGTCAATCTCAAGATCACCTAGAGGAGTCTCGTATGCCTCGCATCCAGACAGTGCGCATCCATCAAGGTAAACATGATGAGATGGACCAAGGATGAAGACACGTTTACTGAGAGGACAAAGGATGACTTCAGTGCACTATACGTTTCCTGGCTTCGATACTCAACTATTCACATCACAGAAGGATCGATGGTCTTATAAGCCCAAGCGGCAGTCGAACCAGAATACGAGTATCCTGCATGCCTAGTGTCGGACGTGAGATTGGGCAGTGAGCAGGTTCACCTCAGAGATAGCGAGTAGGTGAACCCACGGCGCGATGACCGCCTTACAGTTACTGATCGGCACTGGCATCGCGACCTTTCGCCAGTCTTGCGTCTCCTCTGTCGTCTCAGCCTTAGGATGGGCAGCTTCGAGCCATGTGTCGATCTCATTCCTGAGCTTGTTGGCTGATGTTTCCCAGACAGGTTCCAATGAACATCAAGTGAAGATTTGATCGCTGGGCTGTAAGGTTATACCACCTATCAATTGGCATGAAGGGAAATGAACTGACGGGAAGAGGTGTACCAAGACCCAGCGTGAGTAGCAGATCGATGGACCATGATGGTAACAAGACCAAGTATCGAGTGGTAATGAAGGAAATGAGAATAGAGTCACGAAATGAAACGTCAATGGGGATGATGGAAGAATGTATGCGTCAATAGGTAAAAGGCATTAGGGTAGAGGTTTTTGGAGGTTTTCGAAAGAGAAAACACTTAAATCTAGGTTTGTGTGTATGACGTCAAGGAAAACGGAATCGCCGATCAACGACAACTTCTGATAAGGACTTGCGAACACCATGATAGTTGCAAGCTCATTCAAGATGTTTTGGTGGTGGATTCCGATTAGATTGGTGGAATTCTAGCAAAAATGAGCAGGGAAGTCCATGCTACGTATGTACATACAACGGATTCCACCATTGCTGAGCTCAATCTCACTTGCCAGGTATGCAAATGGGAATACACTGATTTCTCAATGACCTTGAATCCTTTTTTCAGGCTTGTCTATAGAGGAACCAACTTGGAACTGGGGTACCTAATTGGTATGATGCAGAAACAGAAGAGCTTTCTTGAAACCCTCTTCATCTTTTGTAAATACCTTGAAATTGATGAAGGGGGTGTCACAAGCAGCGGAGATATCATGTCGGACATCGTTGGCTACAACGAAGTTAATTCGGATATCAGTGTTAATCATTGAAATCCTGACGAGCTTCATGGCCATATATATTCTTCAAGCTTCAGGCCCAGAGGAACTTGATATCCCAAACACTTCGTCAGAAAATAGAAAAAAACGAAAGGTTCACTTCCGCAAAGGACCAATATATATAGTGATATGTAGCTATGCGAGAGGAAGAGATGTATGAAAACAAAACCAGAGAAGTACATAAGAATAAGAAGTGAACAAAACAAGTAGAAACACCATGATGCAATCTTTTCTGAGGTCAAGACCTCATAAATCCGTGTACATAAAATCTTACATTATCTGCTGGAACATTCTCCATCGATTTATTGCGATTCTTTCTATTGACGATGCGCCTGTATAATCAGTACAGCGGCGAACACAGAAATGATAACAGTGAACGGGGCGAGAAATACATGTGAAACAAATAGAGTTTTTGAGATCAAGCGTTGGAAACGAAGGCTGTGAGACTCGTGGCGTGCATAAGCTGGTGATCCGACTGGAAAGCGGTTTGCGGTGGTCATTTGGCACAGTGTAATTGCTGGCGGTGCGCTGACTAGCAGAGACATGGCTAGTATAAAGCACGGATCATTAGTTACGTGTTGATGACTTGCTGAAATTTCTCCAGTTGAGGATACCGAAGCGGCAGTATGATTGAGTGCAAAAAGGATAGGGATCATAACAAGAGGCGTCAAGAACTGCCGGACCGCAATTCCGACGAGAATCGGGCATCGCTCAGACGGCTGGCCGGCTGATTGCACGATTTTATTCCAACATGATCGTCTTTCTTGCATATTGGGCTCTCTCGTGGAGTGTGATTCGTTTTCTATTCGCGGAGATTCAAGAGGTTTCTCCTCGCTGTGAAAATATGCACCTGAAAGATGGGGCCGAGCTCAGTGGCCAAATCAGTCCCACAACATAGTGCAAGGCAAGGGATGCACAGTCCGACTCACCCAAGATGACCAATGTTAAAGGGACCGCGACGTCACCTGCAAACTGCAACGCACTTCATTTTTGTTCCAGCAGTGCATTTGGAGAACCAGAACACTAATAAACACTACTGAGAAGGAAATTGAAGCTGCAGAAAGATAGAACCAGCATACCCGCGTAATGGTTGGAGGCTACTAACAAAATCCTGACATTTCGGAATTCCAATCACAAGGAAAGCCACAATGGCCGAATAACTGTAAGATATAATTCGCAACCGATCAGTCAGCTCACCCCGTTCGCGATTCTAAGCTTTGTACTGCAACTTACAGGGTTGGGTTCATGAAACTATGCAAGGCTTTGAAGAAAGTGGCACATGGACCAAGTACGCGTTTTATGATCGCCTTTGCCTTTGAGCTGGGTAGGTGACCACTCTTCAAGGGTGAAGAGCTTGGCAGTACGTGCACCTGATTATCCACATCAGACCGCACGGCTGACAGACTGCTACGCTCAGTGCCCCCCTGTAACTCGTTGTTCTTGCTTTCCATCTCTGTACCTTGTGGTTTATTTGAATTGCGAATCGACGAGGCAAAATTGAAACAAGACCAACACGACTTCCATTTTCGAGTCTTTGTACCCTTGCTTTCTGCTTGGGGTACGGACAGGAGACGCAGCCCGTAGCTCCATTGTACAAGAAATCCCAGTGTACTGAAAAGTATGATGTAAGCCAGAGTTCTGCCAATTTGCTTTGAGTTTTGAAGAATCAGAATTGTATCAATTTAACTGTGATGCTGAAGGAGTATATGTATGTACGCGAAAACAGATGTACCTCATCTCTTGTGTCCTCTGCACCCCACTGGAATACATTCTTTGATCCCGAATTTTGTATCAGACTCATTGACAGAGCTACTGGCAATGCACTTGAATTCATGAACATGGATATAGCCATACTGAACTTGCGATCGGGAGTCGTAAGCCGGAGAACTCGAGCGAGTAAATTTGCCAAGATGCCTGACAATAGCATGACAATGGCCACACCAATGATGACAATATAAAGTTTCACGATTTGAGACGCTTTTAGATTAAACGCCAATTTGCTGAATATGAATGCGGGAGTAAAGAACGCGCTGGGTAAAGATGTTAATCAGAAATGATCAGATTGACGGGTTATTTGGTGTAAACAATTATATCACTTACTTGTTGACTTCATTGAAGCTGACTCTGGTCTGAGAGCTTATAATTCTCTTGCGAGAAAGGATGTAACCTGCGATCTGTCAATGCATGTAAAGATTTGATGAGGAGGTTGGTGATATTGGAGCACAAAGGAATAGTACCTACAGACAAGATGGCCACCTATGATGATTCAAGAAGGCCTAATCATCAGGCTATGTAAAAGACTAGCGGAGTGATTGTAGGGTCTTTCCATCATGATCTGATCACTAACCTGAGCGATACTTCCGGCTATCGATCTGTAATGGAAAGGACAAATAATGTCAATTCGATATAGTCTTACAGGCTACTGGTGAGAAGCGTCCTACTTGATGATGGTCCTGACATCCGTGTTACCAGACATGTCTCTTGACTTGGCTGACCAGTGTGACGAAGACGAAAGAGACAAAAATGACAAAAAAAGTTTGTGTTGCAGCGAACTGTCCGAGGGCTTCCTCAAACTTGATAAACCAGGTCATCAAGTTCAGCATTCTTGTCTAGGACGAGAAGAAAAGTGCTCAAAATAATTTTGGTCATACCCGGAACGAGCTGAATTTCGATACAGATATCTTCACAACCCTGCCCACGGTCACGTCCAAAGTTCAGATGCGGGCTCAAACTCAAAGAATTCCAAGAATCTCGTTCTGGCTCGTTCTTGAATCTTGATCAATCGCTTGACCCACAATTCAATCTTGGTTTTCAAGTGATAGGCCGACCGGGATAATAATTCGATCAATTTATCACAACGATATCCCCACCAACCTTCAGAGATTCATGAAGACATTTACGGTGAAGCTGATATGACATTCATTCGCGACTCTATATATCGCGACACGTCTCCGATGTAAGGCTTAAAACGCGTTACGTTTTAGGTGAAGGGGTGTAAAGAGCATTCTTTTACAACACAAGATACAAAGCGCGATGACCTTTTTTATCAAACTTGGCCCCCCGTTTCGTCAGTTGGCACAAACATTGATCTGCGGCCCACTCACCACCCGCAGAGCTCATTCTATGGAGGACGAGAGTCGCGAGCGAGGACCACCTCAAATTATGCACTATGCATTGTGTGCTATGCACTGTGTAACAGATGACTACATATGCACTGTGCTCCCAGAGTCCAGACGCATCTGGAACCAGCAACTACGGATCTTTGATGAAGCATCAACCGACAAACCTCCTAGAAATTTCTCTGAATAATTTCTTTAGTCATGCCTTTCTCTTTGAAGTCATCACTTGAAAGCCAAGCCTTCAGGGTTGGGCCACCATCCAAAGTCACATTAATATAAGGTCGGTCGACTGCTTAACAACCAGGATCACGAACTTGGTTTTTAGATGAAGGATTGATCGTACGCCTCCAGTAACCAGTCACACCTTTCCGGTTAACTTAACAAAGGGGACGCCGCGAGAGGGACTTTGTTAAGTTAACCTTTCTGGTCATTCAACCGCTCACTTACAGCGTCTGTAGCCAAGCTGGCTTATCACTCAAGGGCCACCAAACCACCGTCTTTGAATGTCTATGAAGTCATCATCAATGGGTCAGCTGATCGATCATTATATATCTTGTGATATATCGCAGTAAAGGTGAAGTGGTCTTTTGTCAATTTTCCCGATCATCAAACATATTTTGTGTCATACCATACATATCAAGACTTCAAGTTACACATGGTCGTTCTATGGCGATCTGGTCTGCCTGTCTTTTATTTGTTCGCAATGACCGATAAGACAAAACTTGAAAGTAGCCATCCCAATTTAAGCGAAGAGAGAGTACAACCCATGGTGGCCAAAGAACAAGTTAAGTGGAACAATTGAGCTACATATCATGAAGTTAAGGAGAGTCAAAGAGGGAGTTCAAAAAGGAAAGGTATGGGTGGATAGACCTGTACAGAGCAGATCTGTACAGTTTGTCTGCCCCCCAGCATCACGAGCAAGGTGCACAGTGCATAGCACACAATGCATAGTGCATAATTCGAGGTGGTCCTCGCTCGCAACTCTCGTCCTCCATATCATTCGGATACTTACCAAACGTGTTACGTTAAAGGCTGCCTCGATCACAACAAAATTTACGGTGAGGTCAGCATCAGGTTGATTCGAAACCCCCGAATGCACCCGCTCGACTGACGTCTACGTAAATTGGACATCGAGTCGAAGATGACGCAACACATCAGATATTCCTTCCGCCCCCGGAGGCTCCCCACACCGGGATCATCGGAGGTTGACCTAGCCCACCCGAGTCAATGTGGAAGCGCAAAGCTGTAACCTTACCAGCAACTCGAGAAGTTGCCTCGGGAGAATTTTGAGTTTATATCAGCGATACGATCATCAAAAGATAACCTGATTTACAGATCAAAGAACTACCGAACAGTCTCCATCCTACAACACATCTGCGGCCACCCGACACCTCAAACGGAGAACAGCTGTTGCTCTCATCAATCATCCTGGCATAAAAAGTTGCCCTCGGCCAGGATCGAACTGGCGATCTCCGGATGGTTCCGTGAAGGATCATTTGTTCACCTCGCGAGGTATGAGACCGGCGCTCTAACCAACTGAGCCACGAAGGCGGTGGGTCCCCGCCTTCGCGTTATTCCATACTTGCCATGGCGTCCGAAAACGTGTCAGTTTTGCTTGCTTCAAATGGTCAAGGTCTTATAAAGACTATTCAGAAGTTCTTTTGTTTCAACAAGCTTGTTTTCTTGCATTTTTCTGCTTTCTGGTGTGTCTGATTGTTACCAATCTAGAGGTAACACTTTGTGGAAGACACATGGCATTTCACGAGTGAGAGTTAGCTATATACTTGTATTACATAATGGGTTTTCTATTCATTGATTCCTGTTTACAAGCCTCATTCACTGAGCCGGTACTTTATATCTTGTTGGATCTCTGTACTTATGAATTGAGGAAGCAGAACTAGTTTGAATCCAACAACACCAAACTAAATAAAAGAAAACCAATCAAAATCATTGAGCTAGAACATGGACCAAATCAATTTAGCAAGATTAGATTGAACTGGTAAACCTAGAACCAAATTGAACTGAAACCTTACTTTTGAACAAACACCACAACATCATTGACATACAGCCTCCCCACACTTAGCAACACCAATTCTGACACCAAGACCACTCATCCATTTGTTATTCTGAGAATCAGCTTACCATTAAGATGTATGCCAACATGGAAGACATACAGAGGCAACTCAATGAATTTTCACCCTTGTTAGTGAATGGGCACTCCCTTTGCAAGAGAGCCAAAGCCACATCCAACAAAGTGGAAGCACAACTAATTGAGAGTTGCATAGCAGCTTTATTATAAGTAGCATGGCATTTGTGGTATACCCTTAGGCTTTAGTGAGCAAAAGGTCTCCTTGAGCAACATTTCAAACAAAAAACCTAAAAATAAAATTAAATGAAAATGAAATAAAATAAAATATGAATAAACAAAATAGAATCTACAATCAAGATCAATGAACAATAGCTTCAAGAACTCAAACACAGAACAGAAACAGCAAAAGAATTTAGACTAAAAGTGAAAGAATTAAATAAATAGAAATCTTCCATTATCTATCTCTTTACAATCAGCATCAACTTATTGTTCATTCTTGGAACCTCTCTTATCACAACTGATGGGAACTCATTATTTACTTGACCATGAAATGGTATTCTTAAAACTTACTACTAGCTTGGTATCAAAATACTAAAGGAATAGTTGTAGGTAACAAGTTATTTACTGATTGGAATATTGGGAATCTAGATACTATGAGTAAAATGTTCCTACAGTTTTGGGCCGGGTCATTGTTGTCATATACCTTTGTAGTAATATGACATAATCCTGTTGACCTTTTGACACCTTTCCATTTTATCTCATTACCTATTTTCCACTCAGACTTCCAATCCATCATTGTCATTGTCTAAAGTCTTCATCAAGCTGTTAGAACATTCTATTTAAAAAGAACATACTACATTAGAACCTTTCTCTAAAAGATAGTGATGTCAAGTAATGAACCTCTTTATGAAGAAGCAGCTTCCATTATGGTTAAAATTGATGAACTTAGAGAGAAATACCTCTCAACCGACGGTTGCCGATGTTGGAGCTTAGGAGTCAATTTGCTAGGATCTTACCCTATTTGACAAGAAATTGGTATAGTCACTGGTCTGCTTTGCATACAATCTTGTTCAAAAGGATGGTGCGGCCAAAAGACCGGTTTTGAAGAATCAGGGAGCTAGACCTACATCCACTCCAAGATTGGTTTGCTCCTCCACTCAATCCAGAGTACCCCCAGATCTGCCTAGAGAAGTTTTTCCCGTTGCGGGTCCTTCAAACCGTAATCAAGAATAATCGGTTGCTTTGCAAATGCCACAGACGGGTGACAATGCCTTGGAAAACCAAGTGGTGTTGTTATTGAGAGCCTCGACTTCGTTGTTCCTGGCTATAATCTTATGTGGACAGGTGTTGGTGATGGCCTTACCGCTTCCTTCACCATCTTTCAATGTGGTATCTTCTTTGGCTGAAGTGTCGAGTAAGAAAGATTCGAATCAACATGCTCCTTGATAATCAAGCAAAATCAGCCAGAAAGAAAAGAGATAGGCATGATCATGAAAAATTGTCTTCTAAATCTTCAGATTCAACGACTAAATCAGAGAAAGATAACAAAAAGTTTGCCTTTATTACAAAGAAAGTTACTTTTGAAGACAATAATGAATTCACTCCAGGAGCTAAATTATACACTGTGGATGTTAAAGGTTATGAATCTAGAATTGCTGCCGCAGTCAAGTGGTTTAACCGGAATGGAAAACCAGCACATTTGCCTGAAGTTTTATCTAAAGAGTTGTTACAAGGCCATCTTATTGATCTCAGACACATTAAAGGAGAATTGCTTAACAAGAAGAAAGATGATACTACTTCTGTGGCTTTGGGAAAGGAAAAAGGTCTGGAAGTGTTGAAATATTATACTCAAGAGATTGACGACCTGGCAGAATGGCAGTACTACTTTGAAATCCTCAAGAAAGCCATCAAGATGGCTTTCCCAGATTGTTCTCAATATATTTCAGCATATTCAAAATACATCAAGTCTCAGTTCTGGTCAGGGGGAATTAGAGTGAACTGGAAAATATCGCCAATTGTAACACAGCTTTCAGGAGTCAGGTGGCTGATAGGAGATATGTTTCATTTGGTGACTGGGCTCATAAGAGTTTTGATGTTCTCAAAACCCAGTTCTTTGGAAGTGCTTATATGCAAAGCAATCCTAATCCTAATGTTTCTTCTTCAGCTTCTCGAGTAAGTAGTTTTATTGATATATTTCTCTTAAAAAGGTGCTTATGTTGTTTGGATGTTAGCCTTCTTACCAGACTCCTTTCTGTCGGAAAGGTGCTC